TCTGTAAGTAAGGCTTTTCCCTATTAAATACCTTTATATTTCTACCTGAGTCCATATTGGTAATTTCCCACTATAGGGCTATCTGGTGGCATTTAAGTCAGTCATCAATCTCATTATCAGGGGAGGGCATTTAAGGTAGCCTCTCCTCTGTTGCTTAGATTGTTAGTTGGTATCATCTTTGTAGATCTCCAGACATTTCCCTAGTGGCTGATTCTCTGTAAACCTAAAATGTCTCCCTCTATTATGATATCTCCATTCTTGTTATCTTCTATTCTTCCCGACTCACCCTTTCTGCTCCCTCATGTCCTCTGCATTCCTCCTCTTCTTCCCTTCTCATTCTCCTAGCTCCCTCCTCCCTCTTCCCATGCTCTCAATTTGCTCTGGGAATCTTGACCCTTTCCCCTTCTCCTTGTTTACTACCTTCTCTGGCAGTGTGTATTGTAGGCTGGTAATCCTTTACTCTATATCTAAAATTCACTTATGAGTGAGTGAATATCATGTTTGTCTTTTTGTGATTGGGTTACCTCACTCAGAATGTTTTTTTTCTAGTTACATCCATTTTCCTGCAAATTTCAAGATTCCATTTTTTTTTTCTGCTGAGTAGTACTCCATTGTATAAATGTACTACATTTTCTCTATCCATTCTTCAGTTGAGGGGCATCTAGGCTGCTTCCAGTTTCTGGCTATTACAAATAGTGCTGCTATGAACATCGTTGAACAGATGTCATTGTTGTATGAATGTGCTTCCTTTGGGTATATGCCTAAGGGTGGAATTGCTGGATCTTGTGGTAGACTGATTGCCATTTTCTTGAGGAATTGCCATATTGATTTCCAAAGTGACTGTACAAGTTGGCACTCCCACCAGCAGTGGAGAAGTGTTCCCCTTTCTCCACATTCTCTCCAGAATAAACTGTCATTGGTGTTTTTGGTTTTAGCCATTCTAATAGGAGTAAGATGGTATCTCAGAGTTGTTTTGATTTGCATTTCCCTGATGGCTAAGGATGTTGAACACTTTTTTATGTGTCTTTCAGCCATTTTAGATTCCTCTATTGAGAATTGTCTATTTAGTTCTGTTTGGTGGCTTTTAAAGATGATAATAATTTCAAGGAAAAAACCAATATAACTTTAACAAATGTAAAATATATACCACTAACATCCCTTTGTAAATAATACCAGTCCCATAAAAATTCCCTTCCTTTCACTTTAAAACCTATCAGATGATTGGTGTGTTCATATAATCCCGGAATCAATAAATGCAGGCAGGCAAATGTGATACTTTGCAGAGCAGAAAGTAAAATAATCACCCTATTTCTTACTGTGTGGAGGTAATTTATTAACTAGCAAAACAGAAAGTGCAGAGGATAATGTGAAAGACATCTAACAAGCGAGTTCCAGGTGATGTTTTCTGAAGGCATCCTTCACATACCTCTTCAGTCTTACTTCGTTTAACTTAATAGGTTTTGGAAAGTGAATGGAGAATTCACATTGGCTTTTTTTTTTCCTGTGGCATGGAAATCCCATTGACTAATGTAAATCAGGACAGCCTGTCCTGTACACTAACACCGTGGAAGGAAGTATTGCACTACATCTTCCTGAAGTTACCTAGTATACATCCCTCCTACTTCCTCAGCTGTTTTTTAAAAGACAGGTTCTGACTATATAGGTTTGGCTGGCCTGGAACTTGCTATGCAGTCCATGGTGGCCCCCAACTCACAGAGATCCATCTGCCTCTGCCTCTGCCTCTGCCTCTGCCTCTGCCTCTGCCTCTGCCTCTGCCTCTGCCTCTGCCTCTGCCTCTGCCTCCCAAATTCTGAGATTAAGGGTTTGTGCCACCACATTCTGTGTTCTAGACATACATCTATTGTCAACATTTGATTTTATAAGTTAACCTAAAGCTGCTTGGAGAAGGTGAATTTTGTCTCTTGCAAGCTGTATTTATTTACATGTATTGATAAAGAACACTTAAGCTTTGTTTATGATTTGAAAGCAAACACAATTTAAAGTGCAAAACTTGGGGTCAGGGTACCAGCAACTCAGTGCCACCTTTACAGATGAAGAGTTTATGGACATTGAGCAGGGTTGGAAACAGAATACTGTTTTTATCTAGGCTAACCTGTGCAATACAACAGAAAGATATTAGTAATGAAATAGTCTCACTAGATGCACATTTCCCAATGCCATTGCTAAATCTGAGCTTCTGAGTAGCAGATTTGTTGAAACAGATGAAAAACTTGACCCTAAATCCAAGGCCAAAGCCTTGAGATTGCCAGTAAACCAATCTCCTAATCAGACAAGCCTAGATTCTCCAAGCAACACGACTAAAGAGAGCTAACCTTTATCCCCAAAAGCCCCCTCATTAAAGATTTAATAGGTTAAGAACTCACTGGTAAGTTTGGACAAATATTCATGTTTCCTAACAGAAACTAATAATGCAACCTGACTTAGACAGCCCTGGACCTTTACTGACCTTTACTGTATGTAAACAATCTCCTCCACTAAGCCTGTGGCATCCCATCTTCACTAACTGTCCCAAAGGCAAGAATAAATATGAACAGATGGGTTTTACGTCTTTCCCCTACTCCAAACACACGTATGGTCTATAGTTGACTTTTATTTTTTGTAACTAACTCTTTATCAGTTTTGCAGAGTCTCAGTAAAAAAACAAACTCAATTCAATAGGGAAGTGCATGAAGAGAAAGTTAATAGATGCTTGACATCTTCTACCTTGTTACAATAAACATCTCTTGTTCTGATGGATTCTTTGCCACTGAAAATTGAATCAATAATGGCCCCCAAACAAGGTTATCCATTGGAAGAAGGCATTCTAAACTTTTTATTAGAATTCAGTAATTCTAGCTGACCAAGTTTTCTATACAAATCATATTTACTTGAAATCTGTTTTTGTTTTTTCTAGCTTCAGGCAAGTTTGTGCATTTCCATAGTTTTCCCCCAGAAAAGATCATTTGTGGTTTCCTAGTGAATTTTAATGTTTAAAGAATCAACAAAACATTTTTTTAAAAGTAGGATGATATTTAACATAATCTTAGGAATAACTGCAATGAGAGAGTACATTTATAACTTATTTCCTTTTTCTCCTTTCTATATCTAGGTGTTCTAAGCTCTCCTGATTTATGTGGTTTATTTTACAAAGAAAAATGTTAAACTCGAGTTTTCTAAAAATGAAGCAAATTTGTCATGAATACCTCAAAACAACTGTGCTTTGTGTATGATCAGAACAAAAGGTTTACCTACTAACACACCAGGCTTGTGAATTTATGAGGTACCAGGTATTTTTTGAAAGCATATCAAATTTAAAAGAGATAAGTTTTGCCTAAGTATATTCTTTCTTAATATTTCCCCCTGAAGTAAAGTGGATTTTTTTACTTTTTAATTGGTGCATGATAATTTTGTCTATTTATGCAGTACAGTGTAGCATTCTAATACATGTATGTGACATGTAATGGATAGTTCAGGTTCCCTGGCATATCTGTCATCTCAGACATATATTATTCTTTCTTTGTGTTAGGAGCATTCCAGTTCTCTCTGATAGCTATTTTGAAATATCCAATTAATTGCCACCAACTGGAGTCACCCTTCTGTGCTATAGAATATTTCCTTTGCTACAAAGTCTGCATTGTTTTGAGAAGAAAAATAAAGCAAAGCAGGAATGTGCAAAGCAGCAAATGAAGGTTCTCTGTCACCACCGCTGGGTGAGCTCGGCTCGCTGCAGAATTCTCTAGGCGTTTTTTCACGGACATGGGAATGAGACACCGTACAAACTCCTCTTCATTCTGCTTCATATCTCATAAAGACTTTATATATCAGTCCATTGTCATTTCTCTCCCTTTTCTTTAAAATATATTTCCCGCAATGGGATACATACAGCATGAAAGCAGGATACATTAAGGAGAAGCACACCAGCAAAAGGGAGGCAGGAGAAGATGAGGGAGGGCAGTTGGAAGAGGTGAATGAATAAAAATATGACAGGCGTGTATGAAAATGCCACAATGCTCCATATATGTGTGCATGTGTACATGTATGATGTATTTTGTGTGTTCACCAATAATGAAATGAAATAAAATTTACATAAGAATGTGAGAATTCTAATTCTGGCCTGCATTTATGCCTTCCTTCCTTCCTTCCTTCCTACCTTCCTTCCTTCCTTCCTTCCTTTCTTTTTTTTCTGAGACAGGGTTTCTCTGTGGCTTTGAAGCCCAGGCTGGCCTGGAACTCACAGAGATGTGCCTGCCTCTGCCTCCCGAGTGCTTCGATTAAAGGCGTGCACCACCACTGCTCAGTATTTATGTTGTTCTTATCCACATCCTAAGAATATTCACCTAAATGTCTTTGTGTTATTTATTGTGTGTTGCATGCATGTGAGGGTCAGAGAACATCTTGCTGGAGTTGGTTCTCTCACTTTACCACATGGGTGTCATGCTTCCACCTGGGTTTCCCGGTTTCACTGGGTCACCTCGATGGCTCCACCTTAAACATTTTGATGAGACTTTACCTAATGAAGTCAAATGTAATATATGGAAAATCAAAAGAAAAGCCTAATGTTTTCCTACTTTCTACTTAACAAAATATTTTAAGTTTGCTTCCATTTTGTCCACTTATTGATGAGGATCAAAAATTTTTTTAAAAAAAAGGTTACTTTTATAATTGGTGTTGAGCCATGAAGGGTGTGTTTTGAAGTCAAATGGTGCCAGGACATCCAGTTCCCAGACCCTAAGAGGTTACAAATGAAAAGTTTGCTCTGAGAGAGATCATTCTGAACTGTGCATTGAAGCTTTGCATCCCACTCTTCACACATGAGGACAGGTCATTTGATTTACCTGTGTTGAGCACAGTTTAAAACTGCCTGGCATGATGGCCACCAATGAACATCTTGTCCATATTGCCTACTCTGCTCAATTAAAGTGGCTTTGTCAGGACTGGAAAGATTGACTAGAGTCAAGAGTGCTTCTTGCTCTTGAAGAGGACCTAGGTTCAGTTCCTACCATTCACCTGGCAACTTGTAATCATCTTAAATTCCATCCCAGAGACTTGCCTCTGGTTTCAGTAGGCTCCTACACATATGTGGTACATATAAACTCATTCAAGCACACATGCCTATTAATGATGATGATGATGATATTTAAATATACTTTGATCTTTATGCAATCTTAATTCTAGTTGAGGTCTCAGCTGTAAACTTGGTAGTTCTGCCTAGTTTGTAAAGAGGGCTTTTAATATTAAGAGAACAGGGTCTTGGAAGCCAAAAGACACAAATCTAAGCCTTGTGATAACTGTGAACTTGGACAAATCATTTAAGGTCTCTGGGATTCAGTTCTTTTTAAAATTTTTATTTATTTATACACTGTCCCTGCCTGCACACAAGGAGAGGATACCAGATCTCATTATATATGGTTGTGAGCCACCAGGTGGGTGCTGGAACTTAAACTCAGAACCCCTGGAAGTGCATCCAGTGCTCTTAACCTCGGAGCCATCTCTCCAGCCCTGGGCTCCAGTTCTTTTTTTTTTTTTTTTTTGCGACAGGGTTTCTCCGTGTACCTTTGGAGCCTATCCTGGCACTCGCTCTGGAGACCAGGCTGGCCTCAAACTCACAGAGATCCACCTGCCTCTGGGATTAAAGGCATATGCGCCACCAATGCCCGGTGGGCTCCAGTTCTTAGCCATAAAGTAAAGAGATTAATCTGTATGATCCCTTCCTATTCTTAAAACTGAGTCTATAAGTTATACACCTGGACCGGACTGCTATGAGAATTGAAATCATGGGCAGCTGGTCAGTCAGCTGCTGCCAACAGCTTTAAGATCCAATTACCTCAAATTCTTCACCCCTGTTAGGAATGGTATCCCTCACCCAAAATCTCAGTTCTTGAAAAGTTAAGACTGGAGGACTGAGTATTTGGGTTATTCTGAGCTATGTGTCCAGACTCTGTCTCAAAACAAACAATAACCAACAATTAACCTAACATAACATTAATTCTGCATATAATTTGAGTTGTATTTACTTTACAGCAACAACAACAAAAGTTATTATTTGTTTGTTTTTTCAAGACAGGGTTTCCCTGTGTAACAAACAGCTCTGACAGACTGTCCTGGAACTCCTTTTGTAGACCAGGCTGACTTCAAGAAGATCCACAAACCTCTGTCTCCCAAATGCTAGGATTAAAGGCTTGTGCCATGATGACTGGTGATGGTACACATTTCTAATCCCAGAAATATGGAGGTGCAGGCAGGAGGCAAAGGGAGGTTTGGAGCCAGCCTGGGCTACATAGACATTCTGTTTCAAGCTTCTACCAACAGAAACAAAGAAAGAAAAGTTCCTCACCATTGACTCATGTTAACTCAAGATCTTGAACTCCTGTGCTCAGAGTCAGCAAGAGTAGCCGTAGTTCTTACTATCTCTAGCCCAAGGCCACAGTTGAGATTGTGTATACGCACCAGACATTCCTCTCTGGAACTGTCAGCAAGCATGCATAATAACATTCTTTCCACTTCAAAAGTCAGTTGATTTATTTTTGTAATTAATTTGCATAGTAAAATGGAATCCTGTGCTTTCATAGTGAAATTAAATTACATAAATACTCAATTTATAGGAAGTTAATTGTAAGTATATGAAATTTATTTTAAGGAAATTGTGTTGGCAACCTAAATTTGTAGAGAAAAATTTCAACCACAGTAAGATTAAAAAATCATGTGGCAAAATGCCCCAAACTGGCAAATTATATCATTAAAACCCATGGGTTGGGCTGGAGCCACAGCTCAGTGGGTAAATTCGGTTGTCTCTAACCCTAATGATCTGAGTTGAAGTCCTTGAATCCACATGGTGGAAGGAGAAAGCCTCCACTTGTGTATGAGTACATGAACAAACACACACACACACACACACACACACACACACACACACACACACACCATAAATACACAAATGTAATTTTAAAGTACATGGATTATCTTATTTTTTTCCTCATGATTGTGGATTATGACTTCCCCTAGACAAAGGTAGACACTGAAATTAACAGAACTTCTATGGCTAATTAAAAGCAAGTCAAGAACTGGAGAGATGGCTCAGCAGTTAAATGTGCTCAGTGCTTTTGTTGAAAGTCTGGGTTTACATCAGTTTCCAGGATCCAAAAATGGTGGCTTACAGCTGCCTGGAACTCTAGTTCCCAGGCATCTGCCCTCTTCTGTACCCTGCAAGTACCTGCTTAGGCACGAGGGACATAAACACACACACACACACACACACACACACACACACACACACACACACACTCACACACACACACACACAATCACTTGATCTTCTAAAAAACAAATCAGAAAGTTAGTAAGAACCTGGGACAGAATGCATTCCTGGCTTACAACCCAAACTTATGTCCAGCATTTTTTTTTTTTTTTTAGAAAACTCTTAGATGAATGTGGGTTATCTCTCAAGTGTTGTCGAGTGCAAACTCTCTTGATTCAACACCAGCCCTAAGAGCATGGCTTCACTTTTCCTGGCAGTATGAATAATTCTGCCCGGTTCTAGGTTTTGTCACAGCAGTGACTTTGCTCATGCTTAAAAGTAGAATGTTGGTTTATATTTACTTGCAAAACAAAAACTTAAATGCCATTGGGACCCTACAAGCTATAATCCTTCAAGCCACATCAAGTATAAACTCCTTTTATTCCGTGTCCACTTTTAAATCATGTTTGAAGACAATATGCCACTTACTTGAGTGTCAGGCAGCACATGCTCAGTGACAGGTAGTAAACGGTGTAGAATAAGATGCCACACATCAAAAGGTTCTGCACCACAACCTGTAGAGAATCAGGCAGAGAGATCTAAAGATCTGAGCTTTTGTGAACAGTAACTTGCTTAACAAAGAAAAGAAAAATAATTAATGAGTAGCATTGGTAAGCTACATATAACTTGGAGACTTGTGGCTGAAAGGAATCAAAGTACAGGGTGATAGTAATTTTTGTTTTTTGTTTTTTCAAGACAGGGTAGGGTTTCTCTGGGCCTTTGGAGGCTGTCCTGGAACTAGCTCTTGTAGACCAGGCTGGTCTCAAACTCACAGAGATCCGCCTGCCTCTGCCTCCCAAGTGCTGGGATTAAAGGCGAGCGCCACCACCGCCCGGCCCACGTGGTGATAGTATTGCAAACATAAAGAGCCGCTGTGTAGGGAGAAACTCTGTATAGAGGTACTGCTGGCCACGCCCGCTTGGGGCTGGCCACAGGTGCTGCTGACCACGCTCAACTGGGCATGGTCAGAGTGACATAGCAAGGGTTTAAGAAGCAGGGAGGCCCGGACTCGGATCCTTTCCTCTCTTCTGCCTGGTGAGCAAACAAGGAGGCAGTTTGTGCAAACTAGGTCACTGGCTACCTTGCATAATAATAAACTACCTGTTATCTATCTAGTTCTGACTCCACATTGTGTTCGGCTTTACCGCCATGTCACACCATGACACCAAGGATCAATGCAGTCCATAGATCCATACCACTTACCCTGCATTCTCCCAGACAAACTTCTTACACGCCAACTGTGTTAGTCACTTTTCTTGTTGCTGTGACAATACTTGACACAAAAAGCACCTTGATGCAGGAAAGGTTTATTTGGGTTCACAGTTTGAAGGTACAATAATATATCAAGGTACCGAAGCATGGTGGCAGGAGCTTGAAACAAGCTGGTCATACTGTGTCTGCGCTCAGGAAGGAGATAGAGATGAAGAGTAGCACACAGACGATTCTTTCTTTGTGTAGAGTCCAACACCCCAGCCCAAAGACCCGTGTTGCCTGCATGTCAACCTCAATCAGCATATTCTACACACCCCTCATAGGCATGTGCATAGATTTGTTTCCAAGGGTAATTCTAGATTCTCTCAAGCTGACAGTCAGTGTGGACTCTCATACCAATATTTACATCCTAACTTGACATCATGGTAAACTCCAGATATAATACTAAAAATAAGAGGTCATTTTGAAGTAACACTCCCCCTACACACATATAATAATGCAATTAATGACTAAGCCCATTTGCAAGAATTTTCAGAACAATTGATTAAAACACAATAGATGAGCTTGAAATGGACCCATCCACATGTGAGCCTCTCCAAAAAGCAATACAGATTAATGGAGACCAATGGATTATTCAATAAAAGATGTGAAATTGTCTGGCTTCCAGCTAGAAAGAGAATCCCATTAGATTCCAGTCTTGTACCAAACACCATAATAAATTTCAAAATGGATTAAAGGCTTAAATGTCAAGGAAGAGATTGGGAGAAAATATTTGAAACATATATATCACAGGAAATGGCTTGATATCTACACTATAAATTCTTACAAATAGAAAAGGCAAACAAATGAACAGAAAAATGAGCAAAGCATAAAAATGGGTGTTTCATGTGAAGAAACACTTAAAAATTCAAGAAACAATAAAAACTTCCTGAATTCATCAACTATCTTTAAAAATACATTCTTAAAAATGTCAACATTTCACATGGGAAATTTTCTATTTATTCACCCTGCTTTTGAATTTGTTTAAAATCATTTTTTTGCTCTGCCAACACAGAATAGTTTAGGAATCAATTTTCCTTGTATGATAGATTCACTGGATTCGTCTAGTCTAATGGGCTCAGTGAAGAAGATACTGTCCACTAGAAAGAAGGGAAGTCCTCAGGGTTACATACCACATGCGATTTTGACATTACAAGATAGACTCAACAGTTTATCTCCTTCAACTATCTAAAAATGAATGAGCAACCTTGTCTAAGAGGTCATATGACATCCAGGCTCTGAAATTCTGGGACCTTTGGGGCCTGCCCCACTCAGACTAACCCCGTTCTTCTCAATCCATCCTAGTCTCCACCTATATCCCCCCCCACCCCGTCTGTCCACCAGAATTCTTCCTTCTGCCTTCCATGCTCATCCGAACCCTTCTCCTTTTGTATCTCTTACACCCTAACTTCTCCTCCCTCTTGACTGAGAAGTCTTTTAACCCAACACTTATTTTCCTTCATCATTTTCTCTCCAAAAGACATCCGCAGGCATGTGGATGCATGATAGCCATATTTTGTGCATGTATATGTGTGTATTGTACATATGTGAATATGTTTGTGTGTGTGTGTCTCCAAAAGACATCCGCAGGCATGTGGATGCATGATAGCCATATTTTGTGTATGTATATGTGTGTATTGTACATATGTGAATATGTTTGTGTGTGTGCGTGTGTATGCGTGTGCACACGGAGGCCGGAAATCACTGTGAGCTGTCTTTTTCTGCCACTCTCCACTTTATTTTCTGAGTAAGTGCCTCCTACTGAATCCACTGATTTGCCATCTTAGCTCTGGGGATCAACTGATCTCTGTTCTTCTGCTGGACTTATGGATGCACTTCTCCATGCTTGGCTTTTTACACAGGGTTAGCTCTGAACTCAGATCCTCATGCATGGGCAACACACACTTTATCAGCTAAGCTAGCCCCCCCATCTCTCTGCACACCTTTGCACATATTATTTACACAAAATACTTATTCCATACTGACATTGTCACATGCACATACAATTAACTTTGATCACATTCACAACATTCCTCTTGATTAGCCCTCCTGTCCACAATTCCCCTCTTACTCACCAACAGTATTCTTCCTCCTCCTTTTTTCTCATTTCCCTCTCTCCCCATCCATCTTTCTCAGATTACAGCTATGAGCGGATACATGCAATATATGTATTTCTGAGTTCAGCTTATTTCACTTATTGAGAACTCAGCCTTCCTGAAAAAGACACACATGCTTTATTCCTTAGAGTGGATTTGTATCTCTTTGTATGTATGGACCACATTTTCTCTATCCATTTGTGCGCTGATGGGCAATAGGCTAATTCTAGAACATGGCTGTCATGAGTGGTACCACAGCAAAGGTGCACACAGCTAGCCACACTGTGTGCTGAATTTGGTTCCTTTGTATACAAGAAAGGCATAACTGCATCATACATCATTTTTATTTTTACATTTTAAAGACTTTGTAAACTAATTTCTATAGTGCCTATACTAATTTACATTCCTGAAATGTTTAAAGATTCTATTTCTTCCACATTCTTGCCCACATTTGATGCTCTTACTTCCATGGATTTTACTTCCTTTTGTGATAGCCATTCTGATCTTGGTGAGGTAAAGCTGAATACAGTTTTGGTTTGCATTTCTCCGACGGCTAGTGATACTGAACATTTTTTCATATATCGTTGGTCATTTGTACTTCTTTTGAAAAGATGTCCAGGTCATTCACTTATTGATTAGATACTTTTGGTCTTTTGACTTTTCAGTTTTTGAGTTCTTTATATATTACAGATATTAATTCCATCAGATAATTTGCTATCATGTTGTCACATTCTTCAATCAGTGTCTTTATTCTTGTTTTGCCTGTGCTGTGATGCAATTGCTTTGCCAGTTCTTCCTAGTATTTCTTGAGCTACAGGGGTCCTATTCAGAATATGCCTAATCCTGTATCTTGAATGGCTTCTTTCTGTTTTTCTCTGTTAGGTTCAAGCCTACCTTCATGTACAGGGTTAGAGATAGGAATCTAGTTTCATTCTTCTAGACAGCCTTCCCAGAGCCAGTTTTGTTGGGTAGGTAAGAGCCTATTTCCAGGAGTAAAGTCACAATATTATAAACCTTTCATGGCAGCATCTCCTAATTTTTTTTATTATTGAGGAAGAAGGCATTTGGATGGATAACTATCAGCGTCACCTAAGTGGAGGACTCAGTTAAAAAACAGTAAAAAAACGCTGGTTTCCTAGAAATGGATTGTGACCAAGATAATGTGAAATCTTTGACTATGTCGTCATGAAAATGGGTTTAATTAGTTACCAACTTTTGAGATGAGTGTCAGCAGATGGGAGAGAGATGTGTGACACAGAGCAATCTTGGGCTTCTTTGGCCCATGATTCTCATGAGTCATGTGACTTTGGCTTTGCTGTATTCATTATACTATATATTAACTTGTTTTCTTTTCATTTACAGGCCTCTATTTGAAGCATTTCTAAGTGATTCCTTGACTTCATTTTAATGCAAAATGAGATGAATAATATATAATCTTTATACTAGTATATTTTCAAACAACATAAAACTATTTTTTATTTCTATATTAACAATGAAGTTTTAATATATTTTAATTTTGTAATATAACCAATTTGCTATGGAATTTTGCTTTCATAATCCATCAGATTATATTCAGAGAAAATTGACAAGTGCTAAACCCATATAACATTTTAGAACTGGCTTTTAGAAGTTAAAACATGTTTTGTGAGAAAATATATTTGTTTATAAATTTTAAAACACATGCTTTCCCAAAAAACATATAAAACATTACATATAAACATAATAGTAAAAGAAAAAATTTTACTGTGAATGTGTAAGTTTTTACAATAAAGTATCCCTTTGTAAGTAATTACCATTTCTACTAAATTATGACTCCAAATAGTAAATTTTTATTAGGAGATTTATTTTCTTCCAGTAACTTCATTTAATATCTGCTGTAGACAGTCTCCAAGAACTAACCTAACAGACAATCAGACCATGACATTCCCCTGCTTGACATCAGCCTATGGCCCCAAACTGTTGTTAAGATTCCCTCAAACCCCTTACATATTTGACAAATAGTCACTGAGTATGGGCAGCTGTGTGAGATGAATTAGATATATCTTATGCCAAAAAGACCCAGCCCAGAAACTGTTCTTAAATGTACAAGAATGGATCTTACCATGATGGTCTGTTAAAATGAAGATTTGGGAGTTACAGTAATTTGGGAATTACAGCACCAGTAGCTCTGAAGTTAGCACCAGGAATTTGCATTTCTAGTGTGTTCCCAAGGAATGTTGAGTCTGTACTTCTCTGACTGAGTTTAGAAAGCTATGATGTAAACGCAATGATGAGAAAAGAGAAAGCCACAATTCAGAGAAGCTCTGTGACCGAGGGGTGTTCAGCATGTTGCAGAAATCCATGAAAAGGCCAGGGCGTATAGATGGGGGTGGGGAGGAGGCAGGGTTGAGGGAGGGGCATTTCTACAGGAAATATTTGACAATAAAATTTATCATAGTTTCATTTTGTATCAGACATTATATGTACATTACCTCATTCAAGCCTTGTAAAATTTCTGAGTTAACAAGTTGTATTATTACACATCTTTTAAAGATAAGACTTAAAGAGGCTTAGTAACTTTTCCAAGGCTTGTGATAGATTTCGGAACTAGGATTCTAACCTTGCTCTCTGAGTTGTAAACCATCATGCTTTTGTGATGACCTGGACCAGGGATGAGGAGTTGCTGTACTAGAAGGAAAAGCTCTGTGCAGACAAGATGGAGAGTAGATAGACTGATGGGGAATGTACTGTGTATGTTTATCTTATTGATTGTTAAATAAAATACTGTGGCCAATGAGACAGCAAGTAGACGGGACTAGGAGTCAAAGAGGATTCTGGGAAATGTAATAGAGAAGTGCTAATCCAGGCAGGAAGTGACATAGCAAGGAGATTCATATTTAAGCGAAGGAGAAACAGGAAGGGCCCCTTTTTTCCCCTCCACTCCTGCTCCAGCGGCAAGATGAGATCCCAGCAAGGAGGGACGCCAATAAGGTGTCCGATAAGATAAGTCTTATAAAATATATAGGTTTATGATAGTTAAGACTGAGTTAGCAGATGAGAAGTCCTAGTCATTGGCCAAGCAGCTTTGAA